CCTTATTTTGAGGAAATTCATTATTTCAGGGGAATTTTACAGCTTTTGGGGCATTTTCTCACCTGGTTTCAACTTACCTGAGAACATAACAATCCAGAACCATTTCAGCACGTATGCTTTTTCCGAGCTGCTATCCATGATGTTCTGGGTGCAAAAGGTAAAAAACCACTCAGATTCTCATATTTTTTGAAATCTCACTAGAATTTTCCCAAAATTCATCATTTCTTGACATAAAACTCAAAATCTGTGTGTTTCAGCTTTGTACTCATCCCAAAAATCAGTGTTGTATTGAATTTGTCCCCAAAATCTGTTCTTCTCATTCAAGCTACCCACAATTTCTCTGTTTTAATTGCATTTACTCAAAAATTTGAATTTTATTGTACCTGGAGTCAAAATTGGATTTTGGGGGGCCTTTCCACACGCCTTCCCCCACCATACCAGGTACTTAGAATCTCTTTTCTCTTTTCCTCTTTTCTTCTTTCCTCTTTTCCTCCCATTTACTTTTTCCTCTTCTTAATTTTTTGTGATTTCCTCTTTTATCCTTATTTTCCCCATTCTTTCTTTTGCTTCTTTATTCAATTTTCTCCTCTTTTCCCCAAATCCCATTTTTCTTATCCCCTTTTGGCTTTTCCATTTCTTCATGTTTTTTTCCCTTTTCTATCCCCTTTCCCATTTTTTTATTTCTCCATTTACTTCATTTTCTTGCCCTTTTATCCTTTCCTCCCCCTTTTCCTTTTTCTTTCTCCACTTCTTTAATTTGTATTTTCTTCTTTCTCCTTGGTTTCTTTTTCCTACCCCTTTTTCTCTTGCCTCACTCTTTTCCCTTTTCTGCTTTTCCCCCTTTCCCACATTTTCCCCTGTTTTTCTCCCTTTTTTCCCTAGTTTTCCTTTCCTCCCCCTTTTTCTATTTTCTTTTTTGCCTTTTTCCCCTTACCCCACATTTTCCCATTGTTTTTTCTTTTCCTCTCTTTTTTCCCAAATTTCCCTTTCCTCCCCCTTTTTCCTTTCCTCCTTCTTTTCCCCTTTTCTTCTCCCTTCTTCTTTTCCTTCCTTTTCCCCCTCTTGTTCTCTTCCATCACTCTATCCTGCCTTTTTCTTTCCCAAATCCCTTCACAAAGCTTCCAATCCCACTGCTCCCAGGACTGAACTCAGGGCCAGGGAGGGGGGCGGGGG